GTGCTCCAGACACACCCCCAACATCTCTAAAAACAGTAAGTTCGAATACGAATAAGACCTATCAGTTCATAAATAATAGGCTAACTGTTTAACATTAACACTGGCAACCTCCTCAAAATGTTAGCAGGCAACAGTTCTGGAAATATTCTAAGAAGGATCAATACAGCAGCGAAGGACAAAACGCTACCCTCCGCTCAAACATCTGACACCAACCTTGATAGCGGTGATGACTCCCATGTTTCTAAACTGAAGGAAGGTACGTTCGAACACAGATATGACCTAGCATACCGGTATGTTCAGAAAAATACACACAAACAAAAAAAAAAACAAACTAGTAACTTACCAATGTGTAATAACATGTGTCCTTAAATTAAAACAGGACTAAACCAGGTCTAAACCAGTACTGAACTAGGACTAAAACGAGACTGAACTAATAAGATTAAAACAGGACTAAATCACAACTGAACCAGGACTGAGTGTCTGGATGGGACCAGACGTGCACCCGTGTAGACGTTTTGGTGACCGCAGGAGAAAGGACCAGAGTGCAGAGTTCTGCACTTCACGTGGCTAAAGTGCTGCCATCACTCAATCGTGTTTTGCAGACACCCTGTTCCCCGGGCTCAGGGTTCTCCCTCTCTCTCTCAAGTCCATTAGATTAGATTAGTCCAGGTTCAGTCCTGGTTCAATCCTGTTTTAGACCTGGTTTATTCCTGGTTCAGTCCTGGTTTAGACTTGGTTCAGACTAGGATTCATATTTATTTCATACAATCCTTTTGTTTTATTGACATATTTAAAATATTAATACATTTTTTTAAGGGATAACATTTGTATTGACCATATTACAGACACATTTCAACCACTAGGGAGGGTGGTGCCTAGCCAGGCTTGCGCCACCTAATGCCTCCACTAAATTTCTCTCCAGCAACTAGGTCAGGAATCAAAATAACACTTGACAGTTTGCAAGAACCCCAGAAATGCGAGTCCGGGCACCAGACAATCAGCGAAGAGCCATACATGTGTTGGCAACGATTCCCGAGATTGAGGATTTAAAGCCAAAACAAAGAGAATGTTTGGTGAATTTATCAAGGGGAATGACGTTATTGCCCTTCTTCCTATGGGATTTGGGAAAAGCTTAATATACCAGTTAGCCGTCAGCGGTGCATTTCATACATCACGACCAAGTAGCAGCGATTGGTTAAATAAAAAAGTAGTACCCACCTACTGTCGACCGAACAAATTCTAATGCTGTGAGGTCAGACGGTTTCCGCGAAGTGAAACCGGCTGATGAATCAGGTTAGACAGTACGTTAAGGGTACCATCATTTTTGTACAGGCCAGTTTCATTATTTCGTTTTTTTAATGATTCTGTTTAACCACAGGTGAAAAGCAATATTTGATTTTCATTGGACAATTTTCAGTAAATTTTTATTTATTATTGCTTCTATCAGTTTCAAGTTATATTAGTGATGACTGTCGATTTTTCTTTCAGTGCCAGAGGGGTAACTATATATATAATATATCTATGTACCATATCTACAATATCTACCTATCATATCCATCTATCAATCTATCAATCCATCAATCCATATCTATCCATCTACCCATCCACCTACCTATCTATCTAGCTATCTATCTACCATATCTATCTACCAATCTACCTATCTACCTTATCTATCTAACATACTACAAGAGGCATCATTGTGGAAAAAATATTTCTCAGCTTTTATTTACATTTGAACAAAAAGCAGCATGTCCAAAATTATTCATACTCTTTGTAAACTGTCAGAGTCTATGGAAAAATCTGAAGTTCTATACCATTCCAAACAGCACAAGCTGTTCTAAAACTTCCTGATTACCTTGATTCATTGGGAAGAGCTGTTTTAAGCAACTGAACAGGTGAAAAACAGCAGGTCTTTGCAGCTGGTGTGTGAACAGTCGTGGCTAAGACAAAGGAGCTCTCTGAGGATCTATGGCTGCGTATTGTGGCCGCTCACAAGTCAGGAATGGGCTATAAGGCCATATCTAAATGTTTAAGTTCCAGTGGCGATAGTGCAAAGAATTATTAAAAAATACAAGACGTTCCACAGTGTGGAAAATCTCACAAGATGTGACACCTTTGCTGTCCAGGAAGATAGAGAGAGAGGTGTAAAAGAATCCACAGATCACCACCAAGGCCATCCAGGTGAATCTGGACTCTGCTGGTGACAACATCTCAAGCCAGACAATCCAACAGACACTACATACTGCTGGGTTCCACGGACGTAGAAGAAAACTTTTGGTCTTTTGTTTTATGGTCAGACGAAACCAAAATTGAATTGTTTGGCCACAATGATGTATAGATGATTTGGCGTAAAAAAAAAAAAGCCTTCAACCCTAAAAACACCATCCCCACTGTCAAACATGGTGGTGTGAACCTAATGCTTTTTTCAGCCAATGGGCCAGGGAGTCTAATCACAGTAAACAGCACCATGAACAAAGTACAATAGATCAAGAATCTGTGGAGGGAGCTAAAGATCAGGGTGATGGCAAGGAGTCCCTCCAATCTGAAAGCATTGGAGCTCACCGCTAAAGATAACTGGGCAAAAATATCAGTGGAGACATGCAAAAACTGGTCAGCAATTATAGGAAGCGTTTGATTGCTGTAATAGCCAATAAAGGCTTTTCTATTGATTATCAAGAATAATCAATAGCATGGTATGAATAATTGGACATGCCACTTTTCGTTCAAATGTAAATAAAAGCTGAGAAATATTTTTTTCCACAATGATGCCTCTTGTACATTGTCTTATAATCTTCTGGGAGATGCCTGTGTCATTTCCAATCAGGAAAAATAAAAGTAAATTTGTCAGTGGTATGAATAATTTTGGGCTTGACTGTATGTTTACAGTTTTCTGCACATATATAACTTAAGCACAGTGGGGTTCTGAGGGGATCAAAATTTAAGTATACCTTGTCTTTCATAGGAGAAAGACATTGGAAATGGTGTGCTCTGTTAGTTATGTAGACTCAAACAAGTACTGGTCTTCATTGAGTCTAATACTGACACTTTAAAAATACTTGGTATACTTTTTTTTTTTTATTTGCTATGCAATTTTATACATTCTGTTGTGTCCTAGTTTGATCATCTTTTATGATGAGGTTAACCATCAGTGTTCTCGAGTCCTTTAACTTTATAAATAATGTATTGTCATCCTCCTTTCCAACAGTGTGTGCTAAGATCATTCATTTCCAGTGTGAGAGACCCACTGTAAAATATTAGCTATCGTTAACAAGTGTTATAAGAAATATTGGTAAATAGTTAATAATTACTGTTCCAACTATTATAAGGTGCCCCACATAGCTATATAATACTACTATATTAATTAAGCTCAGCCTTTTTTCCTTTATTGTAAGGATCCTATGAGGAGTGGTTCATATTGAGATAGGTAGGAGCACAGTTTAATACAGTGCTTCTCAAATAGTGGGGCGGGCCCCCCTGGGGGGGCGCGAGGCTCCGTCAAGGGGGGCGCGTTTGACCTCGGGGAACATGCTTTTTTATTTTATTTTGATTTTTTTTTACTGTCCTAGAATAAAGTGCAATTGCACTTCCACTACATTAGGGGGCAGTGGCGCTCTCATTGGCAGAGTGTGCGCAGGGAGCATTCGCTCGGTGGTGAAGGAGTTTTGTTTGCACTGAGCATGCGCGCTTTGCACACAGCACAGAGTTTGAGTATGAAGTGTAGACACGAAGTGTAGCAGACCCTCAAGTGACACCATGAAAAATATTTAACAGGGATGAGAAGACAGACGGAGAGAGACGGAGATAAAGAGACAAACGAAAATCTCCCGAAAGCTAAGACGAGGAAATATGACAAAGCGTATGTAGCGCTTGGCTTCACTGTGACTACGGTGGGAGACGAGGAAAGACCCGTGTGCTTACTGTGTCTAAAAATGTTGGCAGCGGACAGCATGAAGCCCAATAAATTAAGGCGTCACTTAAATACATTACACCCCAATCACTCTGATAAGCCGCTTGAGTTTTTTCAGCGAAAACGTGCCGAATATTGCCGACAATCATTTTATTATTATTATATTAATATGTAGTTTGTAAATAAACATTTAACATTTAAATGATGTAAAAATAACTATTAATTAGTGCAGAAAAGACATTTAGATAACATATAGTAATATATTAATTAGATTGTTTTATATTTGTTAAAACATTAATACACAGATTTTATGCAAACAACTAATGTTTAGTTAATGATGAAAAAAATATTAATTTGTGCCAAATAATATTTATTAATTGTTACTAAAATATCTAACAAAGGGTTAGTTAATAATTAGTTTGTCGTTTATTATGGCACCTTATTATAAAGTGTTACCCTTTTTTTTCCATCTAATTTGTTTAAATATATCTTTTGGAGCAATTAAGCAGCACATATTTCTTTTCTGCTATTTTGTGAAGGGACATGATTGCAAAATGAACTTTAATTATATGAACACCTCATCGACTTTCTCTTATGTAGTTACTGATCATATTTTTTTTTCATAACCACCACCATGGATTGTAGATCAGAGTGATATACAGGTATGATAATTAACTTGTTTAAAGATTATATGATGTATCCAACGTTTGTTGTGTCCTTGTAACAGGCTGGTTTGTTACCTATAAGAACACTCAGCACCTTCACTCTTCACTAAGACACTAAAACACTGCACTTTTGATAGCACACAGCACTTTAAACACATTTGCACATATTACAAAATACATTGCACACAACTGGTTATAAAATGTATTTATTGTCTTTCCTTCTACTGCTTTTAATTCTGAGGCACAGTGGCACTTTAATTGACAGCTGCTGGTCTCTGGAGGAAATGGAGACATAATTAAGCAATTACCTTTTAATTTGTGCAATATATATGTTGCAATGTAATATATTTGAATTTTTTTTTTAACTGTTGATGCGTCAGTGTATTTTATTGTGTTTTAGTGGATGGTGTGGTTTGCTTTCAACTTACCTAATTTTTCTTCTGTCCAGGTCCTAAAAGAGTCCCTCTGGAAACGAGCTCCCACTTCTGGGCTGGATCAAGTGTAATATATTGTACAGGAGTAGTAGGTTAGGTGTTTTATTTGTTTATGGGTTTTAAAGTTTAATTGGTGTATGGTTTTAGGGTTTTTATGTGTATAGTTGGGGTTTTAATAGTTATTTGGTATTGGGTCAGTTTTATGGAGTGTTTGGTCAGTATTTTAAATGTTAATTTTGTCACTGTTTTAGCCAATGTAGTTTTGCCCAATTAGTCAGACAAGATAAAAGGCACCTCCATACATCATTCTGTGTTCTGTTGCTGGAGAGGAAACTGCTGCCTGCCTCCATTTTGCAGCCTGCACTTGTTTGCTCTTGCATGTTTTGTAATAATTGAACCAAAAAAGTAAACTGTGGACCACCACTTCATGTCTTTGTATTTTTTTAAACCTTACCCACTGAACCCCAACCCGCACACAGTCAACCTGCGTCACAGTCCTATGATGCTCTCTTGATTCAACTGTTCATATGCACATTTCCGATTGCAGAAACTAATTAATACAAATACAGCAATAATCAAAAAATGGCATAAAGCTAGACAAATCAGAGGGACTCACTGTGTTGTGATGTCGCAATGAGTGGAAGAGTGGTTGTTTTCTTTTCTTGCTTTATCCTGTGCACCACATTCAATGCTGGATAAAAATGCAAAAACATAGTCAATTTCAGTCTTCACCTGTTGAAAAAGTAGTACATTACATCTACCTTCAGCAATTGGTGCTGTTCGTACCCACTCAGAGCACTCTTCACTCAAAAGTACAATCTATCAGTCAAAACAAAAAGACACATTAATTACACAAGTATTTGGGGATGGGACGGGAGCTCGCGAGATGAAAAGTCTATATTTGGCATGGGCATGAAAGGTTACGCACCTCCTTTAAGCTCTGGATAGTTGCGTATCTTTGAGCAGCTGTAGCTAAAAGATTCCTCCACATAGAGACATGTAGCTCGAATATTCAAACAGAGAAACTCTGTCTAATATAATCAAATATATGCACGCCTAATTCGCAGCATGGGACATGCAGTGTTTTTAACACTCCACAAAAAGATATTTAGGCCTTCTTCATCTATAATCACTTAGTTTAAAATGAGAAAGAAGAGAGAAAAGTGCTCCTCCTCTGTCTGTCTATTCTGTGTCCCCCTGCACCATGTGTACATAGAGCCGTGGGGGGGGCATGCAACAAGCATATGATGAAAGTGACTTAATTTAGTTTTTTTTTTTTTTTTTTTTATAACTATCAACACATAAAACCAATTCACAATATATAAAGAAATCAAACCAATTAAAATCATGAGACCAAAATTGTGAGTTGATCCAATTATTGTATTATTGTAAATTGGTTCAAAAGCTCATCTCGACTCGATCTCGTGGACCCTACCTTGTGTCTTGTCTTGTCTTGTGAAAATTCTATCTCATCCCACCCCTACATGTATTATTACTTTTTAATAATAAAATAAAACAAACATGAACCTGGGCATCCATGAATTCTTCCCGGCACCAAACCCAGCCTGCAATGTCATTTATTAGCTCATCTATCATCTCTGGAAGGAGCTCCTCCTTTATCCAGTACAGAAACCTTGGATACTGTCTCATCTGATGAAAACAAAAATGCTTTAATACGTCTTGAAACAGTAATAAAAAGTGCATTTACTTCTACTCACCAAGTACTTCAATTTGTGCTCAGCGCTTATCATGTGCTCACAAATCTCATTGACAGAGATGGTCAGATGGCAGCTTTCACAAAGGTAAAAAGTTGGAAGCTTGGGTGGTACAACTCTGCATTCCCACACAAAACTAAGACCTGACAGTGAAAATAATATTAACTCTTCTGTGCTACTTCAAAAATAAAAACATTTGAAAGGTAATATGGTTACTCACCAATAACTGTCCTGTTTATTACCTTTAGAATATGGGACAAGGTGCTAAGGTCATCTGTTGTTGAGCCTATACAATATTTACATTAACAACAGAACAACATTTATGTAACATTTGAAAATGTTATGTATATTTGTTGCTAACCTTTTATAATCCTTGGAGCTACTTTAGACATTGGTTTCTGGACTGTGGGGCTTGGAGATGACATAGGTAATTTTTTAATGGGCTCAGCAATACTCTTTGCCTGCTGTTTGGTTTGACTATCTTCCTTTCCTGTTGAGAGTGCATTTGTATACAATTAACATTACCTCTTTAGATGAACTTCATTGTCATTCTGAAATACAAGTGATACTACAAAACAAATTTACCAAGGTCAGGGCTCATGACATCACATGGGCTGATTGAAACATTGGGACTCAAGTGAATGTCATATGGACTGGAAGACACATCACTTGTTGCAGCAGATAGTAGTTGTTGAACTGATTTCTTTGGCCTTTTCTTTCTGATCAAACCTTTTACTTTCTCTATTGCTGTAAGGAGAATAGAAGACTATAGTCACCTGCTAAAAATAGACAGAAGTACTGAAGGATCCAAAGTTTTAATTAATAATAAAGCAACACCAAAACAGATTAAATCATTTGTGGAATGCTTGTCACACAAATATGAACTGTAAGATTGTTCTCTACAAAGTAAACGGGGAATGAATTTACAAAGACTGGCTTAAGAACCTCTTTATATTATTTTAAGACTATGTTTCTTTGCCCTCCCCATTCTCCAGATAAGATTATTTTACCTTTGACATCTGGAAGACTCTTGAGCTCTTTGTACACATCCAGAGACACGTGAATTTCCTGAAATGAAAAACAACATTATTTGATTACCGTCTGTGTGGTAAACCACTTAAAACAGTTGAAAACAATATACGTACTAGAATGAGCACAATAAGTAAACAAACATTAAAGCAAATCTTACCTTGCAACTGATTTTTTGAACTTTCTCATAATCAGCAAGTTGTGCTACCATATCACTGAGCTTGGCCTCATTTGGCTTGCCACTCCACGATGGATACTTTGCTTTCTAAAATAGTATAAAAAAGCTAGTCAATTTCTCCAATAACTACACTACAATGTCACTGTTAAATAACTCCGCAGATATCTTTATTTTTATTTAGGGATACACCGATACGATACTGGTATTGGGTATTTTTGCTGATATTGAAAGTTCAGATCAGATATTGACGAGTCAGATGATGTCCCATTTTGGTTTATAAATTGGTGTAATAAAATTTGCTTGGCAATATTGGCCAAAAACCTCTCAGAATATTAAACTTGTATTTTTACAAAGCTATTTATTAGTTACATAGCACATTTGGAACTTTTTTTACCTCATGCAGTTTGTGTTTAAAAGGAAATTAATAATAATAATAAAAACAAAAAAAGTATTTTTATTGTCTAATTCATATTTGACTGTTTTGTTGTGCAAATTACTCTCATACTGATCTTACCAATTTCTAGAACCAACTAACTGCTAATATTTATCCAAAGCTTATCCTGGCTATGGACAGAAATAATTAATACTAACCACATAATTTTTTTGATGGGTCAAACTGGTCAGATGGTCAGATTTTTCCAGAATCACTGAACATGCAAAACAATAGGTGTGCATGCTCTCATTACATATCACTTTAAGCATGAGGTCCAACCCTGGAAAAGATTAACATGTGAGACAACCAGTAAACAACTATTTTTGTATTCATAAAACAGAACACTTACCAACTTTAGGACAATCTGCTGTAGTTTTTTTTTCAGATGCCTCTGTTGTCTGTAGGTCACAGTTGGGTGTAGTAGGTGTGAACGAGTTAATTTTTTGTAATGGACCATTGTTTTGAATACTCATTGCATTTGTATTCAACTTTAATTGGTTTACTGTAGATTTGGTGTGGCCTTCCAATATTTTGGGTGTGGATTTATAAGCTGTTGATAAAAGATTGTTGTCTGATAGAGCAACTTGAAAGACTGGTTCACTGGCCATAGAGTCTGCTTCACATTTGTGCACGGCGTCGGATGGAATCGATTCAACTTGTAGCTCTTGAGCTTCTTTTGCAGCATCAGAAATAGGCAGACAATATGTTACTTTTGTGGAGTCCTCTACTATCGATGAGGTAACGGTTTGAGTATTTGGGCTCACATCATCAGTGTCATATGGTTTCAGGTGGGTCATTGCTGGTGTCGACATGTTTCGGTTGACAGATATGCTGGTGATGAATTTACAAATAGATTTGGAGTTTGGTTTGGATGTATCACTAGTTGTGGGACTGGCAGACATGACTGATTCAAGTTTATCACTGTTGTCTTTACCAGAAGTCACACTTTTACATTCAACTATGGGAATTACACATCTGGTTGTTAAAAGACTAGAGGAAATGGTTGGAGACGGAGTAGTTGCTGTACTGGTCAAACACTGGCACACTGTGGCAGTAGCACTTGCAGACTTGTCTTTTTTAAATGTGGTGTTAGTTTCAGTTTTAGATGAGAGGCTGGTGTTTGAGGGAGTAGACTCCGGGAGGATTTCAATCTTTCCATCCTATAAAGAGGGTACATTATATATGAAAAAAAAAAGCTTCTTTACTGCTTTTTTTAACTGTCACATCTAATATAAGACCATGCCAGGTGAAAACACTAAATCATGTCTATAACAGGACTGAACAGTGGCTAAAGAAGTTTACTATATCAGTGATTGTTCTTCTTTGTGTCAGTTTTGTCATTTTAGACTTTTAAGCTTTACTCACCAGCTGGGGTGGCGCTTGAGAATTTGCAGTAGTAGTGTCAACAAAAGTGATGTTCTTTTTATTTTCTTGCATAGCCAGATTCCTTACGGCTACAAAATAAGAGTACCATGTTTAAGTGTAGATAAGGCAGCAAAAAGATTACTCAGTGTTTGCCTAAAAAATAATGAATATTAATTAATAATAATAATTTAAAACTTAATTTCCCATTTATTAAATTGGTACTGATTTCAGCATTCCATACTCAAATTAGCACTTGTGTCTATGCAACATCATGCTGAATAGAAACAAGTGCTAATTTGAGTGTGGAATGCTGAAAACAGCATCAAGGCTTTTCAAAGAAAATCCAGCCAGCAAATTGCCTTGAAATGCACTCTTCCAAAGACACTCAGCACAACATAACATTTTTAGAGTCATCTTAAAAACCTGTCCTTCCATTCAGCCATTTTGACAAGAGTTATGCTAGAAACTGGGAGTCTTAATTTCACATACATAATCTGACATCTTCTCAATACTGTACATAACTTTGACTTACCCAATTTCATATTTGGTGTGATACAAGGGATCAGTGTTCCTTTACCACCTCTTGCCTTTTCAGCTGACAGTAAGCATACCGCTTTAAGTAATAAAACAAAAAATATACAGTATACTTTTTTTGTATAAATCTTCTGGTGAAATCAGGAATACAGTACAAGTATAAATTTCAATACTTACTTGTGTCATAGTCAGATACCTCAAAGATCCTTTGGTTAACCTCAATTATCTGCAAGGCAGAACATTTTTGAAAGATAAACAAAATAAAACAAAACACACCTTTGCAAAATACAATTATGTACCTGTTCATTTGAAACACAATGAATGTGAGCAGCTTGTTTTGCCAAGTCCAGTAATATCTCTTCAGTGGTGGTGTCCAAATCTAATGATCCTGGGTGATAATTGTTCTTGAAAACAAATAATTCAAGATCATAGGCTTTCCTATGTGTGCATTCTGTCAGCTTTTTAACTGTGGAACTTGCTAGCTTATGGTTGTAATGTTATTTGAGAGGGACAACTGAACAAGTCAGCCCAGCTGTTGTAGTTCCCACCAGTCAGTCCATATTAATACTAAAACCAACTAAAAAGTGCAGCATGTGCAGTGCTTGTGAGCAGTGTTGGGGAGTAACAGATTACATGTACCGGAGTTACGTAATCAAAGTACAAATTATGAGTAACTGTATTCAGTTACAGTTACTGTTTCAGTGAGTGGTAATTGGATTACAGTTACTTTGTTGAAATAAATGGATTACATGGTGGTATTTTCCCGTTTTCACATTTTGGGCTATATCTCTTTTTCTTTTTTTTTCCTCGGTAATTCCACTCATTGCTGGACACTAAATCAGGACTAAACCAGGTCTAAACAAGGACTAAACCAGGACTAAATCAGGTCTAAACAAGGACTAAACCAGGTCTAAACAAGGACTAAAACAGGACTAAACCAGGACTAAACCAGGTCTAAACAAGGACTAAACCAGGACTAAACCAGGTCTAAACAAGGACTAAACCAGGACTAAACCAGGTCTAAACAAGGACTAAAACAGGATTAAACAAGAACTAAACCAGGACTAAACCAGGATTAAACAAGGACTAAAACAGGACTAAACCACGACTAAAACCAGGTCTATAACCAGGTATAAACTAAGTCTAAACCAGGACCAAACCAGGTCTAAAACAGGACTAAAGCAGGACTAAAGCAGGACTAAAACCAGGACTAAACCAGGAATAAACCAGGTCTAAACCAGCAAATCAAGTAATCCAAAGTATTCAGATTACGTTACTCACCTAAAGTAATTTAATGGATTACATTACAAACTACATTTTGAGGTATGTAATCTGTAATCTCTAGGGGAATACATTTTAAAAGTAACCTTCCCAACACTGCTTGTGAGATACAGAGAGAAACTGCTGCCGTTTTGCTACAACATTTACACTGTGCATCCTCAGTTGCCTTTGTGTCTCAGTCAAAAGGTTAAAGGTCTTAGAGCCTTTCTTGTTGTGTTCAGCTGGTTCCCCTTGGCTGTGATGCCCAGACTGCAGGACACAAAAGGACACTTGAGGCCCTTCTCCTCAAACTGCTCTAACATAGGACAAAATGACTAAGGATGGGATTATTTGTTTAAGACATGATTTGATTCGACTTTCGATTCGATTTTGGACTCCCGATTTTTGATTCTCTTCCAATTTTGATAACTTGTTTAAATTAACATTATTTATTATCTTAAAACACAAATTATGCTGTTAACATTGAATTCAAAAATAAAGTAAAATGTTATTAATACCCAGAACTTTTGTTAGCATGAACAATAAATCATAACATTTAGTTTTCCTACTGTAGATATCTAAAAATAAATAAATCACTTTCTAAATTAAATTAAAAATAGGTCGCCAGTTCTTATAATTAAACTTAAATAGACCATAGCAGTTGGCCCCTATGAATAAATACTTAATGATTTAATGAATATTTATGATATATATGATACTTTTACTTTGCACATGCATCACTTTTGTCTTGCACATGGACATTCAAAAACAACACACATACCACTTTTCTCTTACACATAGACTAGTGCACTGCCATTCAAAACTGTGATGTGATATGTGTTCAATAAATGTTGTACCTGCGAGAGAAAGTGGTGTGTGTGCGAGCTAAAATTTAAATGAGGACTGAGCAGAGTCTCCGCCCAGATCGGCCTCAATCTGTGTATCATTCATTAATTTGTTTTTCAAAATAAAACCAAAAATAAGAAAACGAAAAAATAACTATTTTCTTCATTATTTGTCTCCTAAATCAAAATAACGGCATACGTCAAAGTGGACTAATCAAGTGTGACTTAGCGTTTAGCGTTACTCAAATGAAGCTTGCGATGCTAATAGACCTTTTTCACAACGGCTGAAGTGCTGTGATGTAGTGTAAACGAGGGCCCGACCGATATGGATTTTGCTGCGGCCGATATGATGCCGATAAAATGGGAGTTGGAGCTGCCGATAGCTGATATAATCGCCGATATATTTAGTGATTTAAAAATTCACTGTAAATCTTGAATTGTTTAAAAAACTTAGGTTTGGTTCTAGTGGATTTTAAATTGGGTTTATTTAGGCAACATTTATTGTTATTCTGACACTTTATGTCATATTTACAGACAGTAGGTCGGCCTAATGGCATTTTTGCATCTCATTCTAAAAATATTAGTCCCATAATTAGTCCCTAGGGTCTAGCCTAGGGCTACGGGCATCTTCAATTCATACTCCTTATTACTCTGTTCACAGAGTGGACTTATATAACAGACATGCTGTTTTCTTCTAAATTTGATGCACTTACCAGAAAAGTAGCCACATGATCCCAGCTGAATACATGTCCAGCATATTCATCTGCTGACAGCTTCCGTTCGCAGAGGAGACACAGAAACTTCCATCCAATGACTGCATCCCCATATTTGACCAAAAATTCCTTACCTGTAATAAATAAAACATTTTATAACACATAATTTATTATCAGAATTAAAACATTTCTACCATCCTACTAGTATTTATCTTACCAAGAAATGGAAATCTGTCATTGTCTTGAAGTTTGCTAAAAGTCTCACGCTGTGGCACTGCATGAACACAAATTAGTCCACAACTACTCCATTCAAACACTGTCTAAGAAATGATTAACAGTTAATTAATTATTTACCTACCTCCTCTCATCAATCGATCGAGTTTCTCCATCACTAGAAATGTTTAGAAGAAATCGATAACACCATTTTCAGTCAAATTAAAAACTTAAGCTGCTTTGTCATCTGTGCGCCCAAGCAAA